GATCAGAAAGGAAGGATTGGTTTATCTCAGCAGGGTGTAAACAGTGAAGTGTCCTCAAGTTATGCAGCAGAAGGGGAAACTGAGAACCATGAAGGAATCAAAAGACTAGAGAATTTTCTTGGTCTATAGGGCCAGGCAACCTATGGCACATAATGGCTTTGCCACTACTGGTGGCATCAATTCATCTAAGTAAGTTGACTTCTTGGGCCTCTCTTTTTCTTCTATGAAATGAGAAAATAAGGCACCTACCTACAAAGATTATTGGGAGGAAAAAATAGTAACACATGTTATGCATTTAGGACAAGATGTCTTCAGTTGACAAGAAGGAGTGTTACATTTTGAATAAAGGTTCAACTATCCTTAACTTTTATGGCTACAAACAGGGAGTTATGTCCACATTTAATCATAGATAGATGGCATGTGGGAAAGGACAGAAAAGGTAGAGCAGCAGAAAAGCAACTTTGAAGGAGTAAGGCGAAGGCAGATTACAGTAATTAGAACTCCAAAGAAATACTTCCAAATAAAGATATAAAGTATACTGTTTTACGTTGAAAAACAAAACCAAATACTAGTCCAGCCTTAAAACTATCTTATTTATGTAAAAAATACAGTATAAAGTTCAACTAACTTAAGCAACTATGGGGTACCCAACTATGATAGTGTAAGAACTGGGCACAAGCATGCATAGGCTGCAGCCCATGGCCTCTATGATTTCAAGGCATATGGTCTGCACACATATTGCTAAATAGGAACCTAGTTTAGGGGAATTCAGAGAATAGAGAGTTGAATTCTTCCTATGGGAAGAAAAATGGAGAATGAGATTAAAAGGTTTCTCCTGGGTTATAAATCATACATCTATGGGATGAAGCAATCCTAAACCTGGGTGATTTAAGATGTGAGTGAAACAATATGAAGTGGGGAGTTTGAAAAAATCCTCAGGATAGTGTATTCCTGTTCGATTAGTTCCTGCTCAGCATTAAAAATATTACTATGTATATCAACAAAATTATTTGATGCCAGACTAGATTACCCAGGGCCATGAAAGCAAGGATAAGCTTTCATGCTTTTCTTGAAGGTACTGGGAATAACAGAATTAAGTTCCATGTATCTTAAAAAATGGCATTTCAGGCTTTTGTAAAACAGGTTTCTTGTTATAAATGATTCTCTCTAATTCACAGTATTAAGTTGTTCACAGTATTAATTTGTTAGCAGAGCTCTACTGGCTTATGTCTGTAATCCTAGCTACTTGGGAGGTTGAGATTGGGAGGATCACTGGCCAAGGCCAGCCTGGGCAAAAAGCTGTAAGATCCCATGGCATGTGCCTGTCATCCCAAGCTACAGTGCATGGTGGATTGTAGTTCCAGGCCAGTCAGGGCAAAACCAGTTTGTGAGTCCCCATCTCAATGGAAAAAAAAGCTGGATGTGTTCGTATGTGTCTGTCATCTTAGCAATAGCAGAAAGTGTTAAATAGGAGAATCCTGGTCCAGGCCAGCTAGAGGAAAAAGCAAGACACTATCTCCAAAATAACCTGAACAAAAAGGGCTGGATGTGTAGTACAAGTGTCTTAAAAAGCCTGCTTAACAAATGCAAAGCCCTGAGTTCAAACCCCAGTACTTCCACCAAAAAAGAAAAAGCAAAAAGTTCTTTGTTACTGAGAAAAATCTGCTGGAATTACTGTGTTGAAAAATAATGAAAACTTTAAAAATCCATCCAATTAGATATTTGGATATTTAGAAAACATTCGGGTATTTAATAGGATAGATGACTAAGGTCATAGATGATGTTCAAGTTCATGTTGAAATTTTCTCCTAGAGTTTTAAATACTTATGGCTGTTAAAACTCACTCATCAATATATAAATAATTTAGTATTATTGCATGCTTTTACATGCAACGAATTGACTCAAGTGCCTTCTGTGTATAATTTCATATCATTACATTTGACTTCATAAAAGTCTTACAGCTAAGAACAGTATTACCCCACTTTATAAGTGAAGAAACAGAAACTAACAGAAATGAAATAACTTCCCCAAAGCCAGTAAGTAAACAAGCAGTATTTCTCCAGGTAATCTTTCTCTCCAGAGTGTGTGCTCTCAGTGTGGAGACTACTGCATGCTCTGCATGAACTGACTGATAGTTGATTCTTCCTTCCTCTCCTGTTTAACCAGACATTTTCTTTTTTATGAATACTGGAGACCCTGCCTTTCTTCCTTGACCCTCTAAGGTCTTATCTGTGCTTGGTACACTTGCCTATACTTATAGCTATTTTTTAAAAATAAAATTTGTTAGAATTTGTTTATTTAACAGTTCTTAGTACTTCTAGTACATTTATTATCAGGCAGAAACAGGGAAGGACATGAATTTTTTTGGCTACTCCTAGGCTTCTGTTAAATCCTCCTACATTCTCACTGCATCTGTTTGGTAAATGGCTTGGGTTTGCTGAGTTTATCACTACTTATTTTGCAAAAAACATGAGTACAGCATAAGAGAAATCAAATTATGAAATTCGGTATTTACATCAAAGTAGTTTCTTGGTGATCAGTTTAGCTGATTATGGCTTTCTGTTTAGTTTCTTACTGCTTATAGATAGCCTCAAAGTAACATTTCTGGGACACTATATGAGTAATTGTTAGTTGGAATGAAGTTAATCTGAAGTTAATTTGTTCCATCATAAAAAATTGTGATCTTGAGGTTCAACATCCATGTGTCCAAAGCAAGGATTCATGATGGTTTGGATATTGACTATGCCAATATGACCTTGCCTAAATAGGTCAACAGTTATTGCCAGACACATAAAATACCTGTGGGTAAAAAAATGATTTCACAGAGCTTGGTTTAGGCTGTATCTTTTCCTTATTGTTTTGAAGTTGCTAATAAATTTCTTCCATCAATATACCTACTCTTCTGTTTGTTTCAATACTCAGCTTCTCCACAGCCTCAGGCTTGGCACTTCCACATGCCAGTAGCTGTTAGCTCTGCACATTCACCTTTGTTTCTTTACTTCTCTTGAGCAGCCTGTATGTCTCAAAGGTGAGTCCAGGTGACAATGTAACAGAGAGGTGTGTGAGAGAGCATTTGTGTGTGTGTTTGTGTCTCTCAGGACTGTGTATTGATATGTATGTTCTCAAAAGAAGACAGTTATAGCTATTTTTTATCTCTTACTTGCTTGCAATTTTTTTGGATCCCTCACAGTGCATAGCATAAAGCCTATACCTTGCTTATGATAAATAATGAATATCCAAGTTTTCTTATACCTCTACTTTAATTTATAAAACTAGAAACATATTTTTAGAGAAGGAAGATGCTATATTTCAAATGCAATGCAAACACCATAATGTTGTTTTTCAGTAAAAACTTCCAAGTTATGTTTCCCTATTATTTTACTATACAATTACCTATTCTTTGTGTGTGTATTTCAACTTAATTTCTGCCATTTGGCATGAGAACAACATTTCTTCTTTGAGCTCAAATTTCCTGTTTTCGTTCTGAAAACATTGTGTGTGATATGTGGGATATTTACACAACCATGCGGAGAACTACACCTGAGTGGTGAGTTCTCCAAGACCCGTGTCCTGAGAACTGGAGAGGAAGAACTGGGTAACAAGGCATGAGGCCCACTGTGCTACCACCTTTTTAGCTCTCAGTACTTGACCTGTACCCTGCACCTTTTTACTTACCCTTCTCCTGACCCAACATGAAATTAAATATTACATGGGGCAATGCTTTGAAATTGATCAATACTGTATATAAGCACAAGGTAATGCTATTATTGACTTTTGTCAGGAGACAACATTTGTTAGAAAAGAGAAACATTATCTTGTTTGGAATTTACCAGGCCATTGTTTAACAATTACTATTGTAGGTTAGACTGGCCAAGTGAATTTGTTTTTATGCTGATCTATTTATTGTCCCACCTGTTTTGGTATTTTACTGTATTATACTATAGTATAATATGGGATGTGAAACAGAGTTGTGCTCTTCTTCATGGTGCAAGTGGTTTATGATATATCTGATAGATTCTTCTTGTTTTTAAATAAACTTCCACACTTCTATTTTACTTACTTGTTCAAGAAGCCGTATTTTTTATATTTGAATCAGATTATAAAGAACTATTATGAAATTACATGAGCTCTAAAATTAGATAGTAATAAATAGTAATACATAGACTCTTACTAGATGTCCTGAACAGTCTGTTACTAATGATACTTGAGAGGAACTCAGGCAACTGGAAGAAATCAGGTTAATATTAAAAATGTATGAACACTTACATATAATAGAATCTGAGTGGTGATACAGAAGATGTTAGTCAGAATTAAGTAAAAAGTATAAATTATACATTTTAAGATGAATACAAATCATTATCTCTAAGTACATCACATGTCTTCTTCCAAATTATAGGTCTTGGTATATATTAAATAAATTTAAAAGATTAAAGTAGCATATTTGTTGTATATGTATCAAGATTAATAATGTACAAAAGGAATCTATCTTTAGACAATAAGACATTCTCTTTGAAAGTCTGTATGATTATATTGTTTTGTTCTGCAATTTTTCCCCTATAAATAGCAAAAAGGTTATATCAATCTAGCCCCTAAAAGTTTGCCAAACAGTTTATATAAATACATTGTTAAGACTATTAATCCACACAGGAGGTAAAACTTGACCCTAATTAGGAGGTTAATACTTTATTCTTTTCTGTTTTATAAATTTATGACCAGGTGCACAATTAATTTTTTATCTATTTTTACCCCAAAGAGAAAATACCAGTGGTTCATTGTTGCCTATTGTCTCTAGGAGGAATACAACTCTCTACTAAATCTTTCTTACTGTCATTAGTATAGGCCTCATTCTACCAAGAGACCTGTATAATTTATGAAGGTATTTGCTAACCCAGAGTATCAACAAGTTGCAAAGGGAACATCCAATGAGTGATAATTTAACTTTCTATTTCTTCAAAAGCCTATTGATTGCAAGTAAAACAAGTGCTCTCGATGGTCCTTACCTGCAGTGCACAACCATTGGACCTGCATCAGGAGGGTTACAGGTTTTGACTCTCCTTAAAAAAGCTAGAAAAGGCGTGGGGTGCTCTGGAACACCATGATCAGGCCAGGCGGTGAACTGGAATTGTCTCACTTCTCTCTTCTCGCTTGAACCATTCTGTGACACATGAACACTGGCTGTAATTCTGTTTTCCTAAACTCAGGTAGTAGTGATGGATAACATGGAAGTAGTAACACTAAAATATGGTATCTTAATAACTTCATCCCTCTTTCTATTCTTTGACAAGACACATTCTTTGAAGACATAAACTCCCGAGCTATGCATAAATGATGACTACAAGGATGACAAAATTGTTAGGTGAGAAGTGTTCCATCGTTTAGATTTAACCATTGGACTGTTCCTGTTATATTCTACAGAAAGAACTAGCTCTTCATCTATTCTTCATTTGCTGAAACTTTTTCAGAGCACAAATTTACTGATAAATCACCAGACTAGGAGAAAAACTGCTGGATGTTAATGGAAGCATTATTTCATTCCTCACTGTTGCCCGTGTGATCAAGATTTAAGTAAAGGCTTAAGAGATTTGATTTCTCAAAAGAAGCTTTCTTTAAATAATGGAGGAGAAAAGGCAGGGGGAACAATGGCAAAAAGCAAACCTTATAAAGTGCAAATGTTCGAACACAATATGTGGCCAGCTCCACAGTATCGAGCAGTGTCACTTGGACCAGGCCGTGGGTCTCTGTGCCTCTGCTGGGCCAATACTGGTCACACTTCACCTATAAGAAACAAGTGACACATTCAGGGCAGATGCTCATCAATTTCTCTATTAGTTCTACTTTGAGTTGCTGTTGGAGGAAAACAGCTTTTCTGCATTTAATTTTATGTTGATCTTTTTTCTGGCATGCATTCTTGTTATCCCAATATATGTAAATTACTGTTCTGATGCCAATGTAAACCACATTTTTCAAACTGGTAGGAATATTAAGCAGCAAGAGATTCAATTTTCCTGGAGAAAAATAAGTTGCAGATTGTTGCTGAATAGAATAAGGAGAATAAGGAGAGAAGTATTTGAAACTTCACAGGGTACTTGGGGGGAAAAACCCCCACAAATTTGTTCTGGGATAGATGTTATGATTTGCATCAGGAAGATTACACTTAGGCATTTAAACTACATGGTGCGATAGTTACAGTTCAAGATTTAAAAGGCACAAGCTATTTCATCTTGAGCAATCACAATATCCAAATATGCTTATTTAAAGAAAAGTAGAAATAAAAAATCTATCAAAGTATAACAAACATAAGCAGATTTTTAAAAATATAAGACAAATGGTATTTATATCTAAAACAAATTAAACTTGTAATGTCTAGAGGAAAAAGATCTGTCTGTTGTTTAAAAACTGTTGCAGAGGGTCATATACTAGCAGTGCAAAGTTTAAATAATTTAAAATTCATTCATTTGAGATGAGTAATCTACAATTTTTATGTGGAACAGAACAAAAGCACATAAAAAAGTATTCGACCCAATTAGTTTAACATGCAACAAAGAATAATTCCAAGTCTGTAGTAAGCCTCAAATTTATTGTGTACATTGGGCATTAAAAAGCATAATGAAAAATGACAAACTCAGTATTGTATTTTCTAGGGAGGCCACAGATTAGAATATATTTTCCTTTTCTATATCAGATTAAAAGAAAAAATGGAGGTGATTTTTACCTAAAATCAAATTAAGTGCATTTCTGTAGGTAAAGAGAGCTGCTAGTACTATTTTATATTAGGGAGCATAGCCTTTACTTGAAAAACAAAGATGTGAAAGTATAATCTTTGGATACTAAGTTTTTGGACCAGTGAATAGAATTATTAGATTATTTATTTGCTTTTATGTTTAATATAAATATTAGGGGCATTCTACAGAGAATATTAGAATCTGATTCATAGCAACAGCCTCTGTTTCTTTAAGGACTCAGGCTCTTCCTGTGTGGACAATAGACCATCTAAAAAGGTAGAGGTTTTAACCTCTACACAATTTTCTTGATAAGAAAAAGGAAGAAAGACCTTACTGTACATTTATCCAGGAAGCTAGAAATTAAATTCATAAGACTTGACTCCTGTACTGTGTTTTTCTTTCAGCTGTGACACCAAACAAACACCATCTTATTAATGAAAAACAAAGTGGTTCACAGTAAAAAAACTTCATGTTTTAGTAGGACTAAAAAAATTCTATGTGTGTTGACCATATGCAAAGAATATTATGTTTTTATTTCTATCATATGCTCTAACTCAAAGAGACAAAACACAAAGGAAAGATAGTTTTTTAAGGACAATACTGATGTAGCATGACCAGTATTGAATACCTCTACATGTGTTCTCTGATAATCTGTTAATCTCAGGTCATGTCTAACATATTCAGCAAAGGCTATCATTTGAAAGGAAAGCTGTGATGACTCAGATGGAAAAAAAAATCACAAAAATTAGGCCAAAGGCTTTGTGTTAAACCATGAAATAGATGTCAAGTTGATGTCTCACTGCAGAGGACAAAAGTAACTTTGTAGCCTCATATTTCAGTTCAACAGGATGCCAGCAGTGTGTTGAGTTAAAGAATCAGGAGAGAAACTCAAACTCATTACTTAACAGTTCAGCTGGACAGCAACCATTTGAAATCAAAGGCAACTGATAAAATCCCATAAAGACAAATATCACTATGGTGTATATAAAAGCAACACACTAATGCAACAAATCTATTAGGTCAGTTCAGTGAACTGAACCAAATTCAATATAATTGTATTTCCAAGGTGGGGACAGGCTAAACCCAAACTATTTAGTGAGATAAGACAGGAAATGAGGAACTGAAAGTCAGCCTTCATATAAATTTTAGAAAACTCACTCCATTCTTTAATGACTTTCTGTCTACAAATCATTCCCATTCCTAAGGTACAGATAGAACTAAAATTATACTAATTATTCTCGTATTTTTAGTAATAAGTTTGAAACTATAATTATCATTGGCTCAAACATACTCCTTAGAGAAAGAAATACCAAAAAACTTTAATATAAGGAGTAAATGTTATGAAAATTCTTAACTGAAAGAAGAAAAGTGCTTAATTGAAATAATGAACTTTAACCTTTAACACAGTATGAATGTGCAGATTAATACAACGAACCCCCGTCCCCTCATATTACTAATATTTGCTGTTTCAAAAATTAAAAAATGTACTTTAACTTACAATAGAGAAAAGTTTAAGGAGTTTTCAAACTCAAGTGTGAAAACCAAAACCAGTTTTTTTTTTGTTTTTTTTTTTTTTTAGTAAATATATCTATACATGGCCATTTTATCTCAGGAAATATTTTCAAATGTAGCTTATGAAAAATGGCATTGTAATGGAGATGCACATACATGGTGTCAGCAGTGGGACTCGATGCTCCCCAGAGCTTATCAGGGCAGTGACAGCAATGCATTCTTCCTTTTGACAGTCAACACCTCATACTTCCTTTCTCTATTTCATTCTCTTGAGTAGCCTGCACAGAGTTCATCTGATTTCATGGGGCTAAATTTAAGGGCTCACATTTACTTGACAAGTATTATTCTAAGGTTTTCATTTTTAGCCATATGTAATACAAATAATTTCTAATTTCAATATTAGAGAACAAGTATGAAGTGTAATGAGAAAAAAAGAGAAAAGCAGAAATGATTTTTTCTAACTCTCTAATGCAAATGAACTAGCTCTATTTTACTTTCTTCAAATGTTTTACTCTGACAACAGTTCTTCTGTCACTTTGTTTTCTGGAAAGCAAATCTCATAAGGTATTTCTAGAGAGAGTTAATGTGTGCAAGATTTATGCATAAAGCTAGCTGTAAAATATGATGAGTGGAGCAGCTCGCTTTGAGTGTGTAGGAATTAGAAGACAGAAGCTACTAAATACACATCCTGATTTTTGTTTTTTCTCTCTTTGATTCTGAGGTGACCACACATGGCTTTGGGACTGATTTATGGAAGGTCAGAGGAATTCCACTGGATGATGAGAAAACTGCTTCTCCATTTCCAGGACCAAAGCTTGGCTGCTTTATCTGTAAAATGGGAATAATTATCTCTGGTATTCCAAGAATGTTGCAAGGATTAAAAATGATGCACCTAGAAAGATTAATCCAATGGCTAGCACAAACCAGTACCAAACAACCACGAATTCTCATTAATTACCAGATTGCATTCTTGATTTTTTTTGTGTGGGTAGTTATTCTGAACGATCTAAATCAGTCAAAATATGAAAAAAGGAACATGTTATTAATCTCAGCAGGTATTCATTCAGGACTCTTTAGTCGTTAGCAGCTGTGGGGACACCAAGGTGAAAGGAGACAGGCCCTGCTCCTAATCCATCATTCTTAATGACTTAATATAAAGGTGTTTTCAGATTTTCTGTTTCTTCAAGTAGGAATGAAATTCCAAACAACTCCCTTAATCTACATGAGCTCCAGTCTGTTGTGAAGAAGAGACTGTTAGTCAGATGCAGCTGGAAAAGGTCTGCAGCAGAATTATTTTCTGTAATTATGGAAAGGTTGATCATCACTACATTTAATTTATTTAATTCATTTAATCATCTTAATATCAAACTATGAAAAGTAATCTGATGGTATGATGAAACTTGTTGGAATGTATTCAAAATGAAATCTTGACAGTGGACATAGCTCTTTGGGGGAAATTCTCTCATTCTTGGCTATCTATACTCTCGTATGGCTTATCTTAGAAGAACTTGACATACTGTGGTACTCAACAGATGTCACTTAGAAGTAACATAATCCAGCCTGGGCTTACTATAGACATGAATGCAGAGAACAAGAAGGGCTTTGCACAAACTTATGAGGAGCAAAAGTACATCTCCTTCTCCAGCCCAGCTTTTGGTTTTTTTTTTGGCACTACTGAGTGTTGAACTCAGAGTCTCCCACTCGCTAAGGAGGTGTTCTACCACTTGAGCTAGCCCTTTTTGAGATAGGGTCTCGCTTTATCCCATGGCCAGCTTGGACTACAAGCCTCCATTTTTGTGCTTCCCCACATAGCTAAGATCATAGCACATGCCACTATACCCAGCTATTGATTGTGATGTGGTCACCTGAATTTTTTTTGCCTGAGCTGGCCTTGAACTGTGATACTCCTGATCTCCAACTCTTGAGTAGCTGGTATTGTAGGCTTGGGCCTGTACACCAGGTCCTCCAGCCCACCTTTTTACACAGGTTATGATGCCTCCAGCTGGCTTTAATAAGAAGGCTTTGAGCTTGACTATGTAGGCTGCCATTCTAAGTATACTAAGTGAGGAAGGGAAAGAAGTAGAAAACCCAAGAGGCAAACAGACAGCCAGAAACTGGTGGGATTCTTTCTCTTTTATCTGACACTGTGTCTGCTGACAAGAGAAAACCCAGAGTATGGAACTTACTAGATAAAGACCCAAACATCCTTTAGGTTGCCAACATGAGCATCATTCTTTTTGTTGCCAGTGTCCTATTTACATTAACTATCCACCACCTTCAAAACAATCCCATACATCATGCAGACTCCAAAGGCAATGTTTATGCTGCTGTTCCTTCAGTTGCTTAAGGAAAAAGCAGTTTCTGTTGCCCTAGATAGGCAGGCCTTTAGGCTGCAGTTTGAGAAATTAAATGTTCAAGGCCTTTGGCGCTTCCAGTTCTATTTGGAAAAGGACACAGACCTGGCATTTGGAAAGCATTTGTTCTCCATTAAACTTACCGAACCTTGACAAACCAAAGAGGCCAAGAATTAGTCTGCCACTG